CCACGTGAGCCACACACCAGAGTTTGTTAATTTTTATTTTTTTAAGATTAATTTTTGACAAAAAAAATATTTATTACATCTTTAAATACATAAATTATATAAAAAAAAAGCCCTTTTAAAAATAAGTTGATGTTTTACAATTTGAAATGAATATTTTTTTATTAAAAAATTTATAAAAACATACTTTATAATGGTTACCCTTATCGAAAAAAAAAATATCAATCTTAAACAAATTATCAAATTATCCCTTTTTTTTTTTTTTACCAAAACACTATCAAATGATATTCATGTAAAAAAGACTATGAAATGATATTAGTTCATTTTTAAGGAAAGGAGAGGTTTTGATTTGAGTCAAAATAGATTAATAATTGTATGCACCCAAGTAAAGAGGGATGTGGAAAATTGTTACCACCTATTAATTATGTAATCCACCAATAGCAAATATATATATTAATGCCTATCTAAAACCCCCTAATATAATTAAGTTGGTCTCTCAGCTACCAATTCAAGGGGGAAATGACATACACATTGTATGTAAAATACATAACTACCCAAAACTCTGGACGGTCTATTTGGGAAGGCCAATAACAACTTAATTGCATGAAACTTTCAAGTCAAAATTAAATGTAAAACATATTTAAAAATAAAACACTTTGAAACCCTAACTAATGTAGGGCTTAGGCAAGGCAGGTGGCGCTTTAAGTTCCCCTAGGATAAAGTAGGTGAAAATTTGACCCAAACCCCATGCATCCAGTAAGTTCCTCTATGAAGCATTCAATTTGCTGGCGAAGCTAGCCTATGTACTGAGCTTAGCCCACTACATGAACATGCATGCAATGTCAAACAATAGTAAAAGGAAGTTGGAAAGGAAGAAGCTGCACCCAACTATATTTTCCCACTAGAAGCATGGAGTACACGCTACGATAATTTCCCCACCATGAGACATGCGCCCTGCAAACGATGCATTTTCACATGCATGCATGGAAATTAAAGAAAAAAAAATGTACTTTTGTTTGTCAAAGTAACAAATTAACTTCTCAGTGGCAGTCCTTAACTGGTTGCCTCCCCGGCTCCTCCTGCTCATTTTATATCAATATTGCACAGTGGCAATTAATTAGGAAAAGGAGTTTGACTAACGAACCCCATGCCAAGAGTATATATACGAAGTCAAAAGGAATGTGTATATATATAATCGTGCAATTGATGTTTCAACTTTCTTCTTTATTAAAACTATTTTCATAATCCTGTTTTTTTTTTTATATAAAAAAAAATCAATATGTATATTTTCATTGTGATTGAACAATATCTAACAAATCTCAATTAATATGTACCGTATCAATGTGCATGGTTCGGTAGAAAGTACGTTCGCATCACATGTTGTCTAGTGGAGTTACGTTCAATTATAATGACAATTAATGTCCCTTCTTGTCTTTGAAATTTAGAGTATAATTCTGAATCTGAGGAGGCATGATAAGGAGGGTTGGGATCGATGTGTACAAGATGGGACAGAATTATCTTCAAGTAGGATTGCAAATGAATTTATCCCTCAATGAACCGTTGCCTATGAGTTTGTTAGGTTCAACAAGAGTTGGATTTTAATTTAATATTTTAATTGTCGAGCTTAATTATATTCGAGTTTGTTTCATTTTAGTATCAAACATGAAGAGTTTAGCTAGGAAGTTAGCGAAGTGATTTGATTGATTATATAAATATATTTTAAGATATTTTTATTTTAAAGTTTTTAGAATTAATATTTGGATAAAAGAATTAATTTTTTTAAATATATTACGTTGTTGATGTTAGGATAAGTCATTAAATTCATAAAAAGAAAAACACTGTTAGAAAAAATTGATATTGAATTATGTTAAAATTTTAAATTAAATACCTTAGCTATCCAAACAAAAACAAAAACAAAAATTAATTGTTTTAGTTTAAATTATAATTCTTTAAAATCAATGATGAGTACTAATTCGAGCTTCATTTCAATTTTTTTGAACTAAGCTTGAATATAAAATCAAACTGAACTCAAGCTTGAAAATTAATAAAGCTATCCAATCATTTTTTTTCATTGTTTGGAATGCATACGACTCCCAAATTATAAAATATTGTAAATATCACAAAATGCACACAAATTATAAAGTATCCATTCCCATTATGCAACAATATTCAGATTTTACGTAGATGGATCAAATATTCTTTACATGAAGTTATGACCCCTTTAAAAAATTAATTATTTCTCTAAGGATCAAGAGGATAATGAAAAAGAAAGCTAAACAATCTGTAGCAATATAGTATATAGTACTTTATATCATGTGCCCCAATCAGAATATGTAGTATACAACAACACCAAACCAAAACCTTAATTTCCTATATCTCTTAATTTTGCCATCACTTGAGATATATCTTGATTCTTGACTTTGATCAAGAAATATAGAAATTAACTAAGTAAAGGCTACAGAAACCCATTTGTAGACTAACCATATTGATATTGATCACTTCAGCTGATATTACGCATTTCCCGCCGCAAGAATCGGACTCACTAGGGTTTTGAGTTGGAGAGTTCACAGTAAGATGTGACGGCGGAGTTGGGATTCTCGTTGTGGCAAGGAGACGAACCAGACGGAGGAACGAAACCCTTGGGAAGCATGACGGTGAACGGCCTAGTACTTCTGGAGTCATCACCTCCGGTGACCTTGTTGTTTTTCTTCCGCTTGATCATCATCCTCCCCGTTCTCCTCCGGGTGCTGTCCAGTACTACTTCGCGTCGCCTGTTGATCAAGAATAACGGCCTGGCGTTCTTGACGTAGAACACACGGTATCCAGAGGGTCGACTGCTCTCGGGTCGGTCAAGGGTTTGATCGCAGGAAATGGGGCAAGAAAGGGAGGAGAGGAAGAGGAAAAGGAAGACGAAGACGAAGAAGTAGTGATTCAAGTTTGAGGTTGGGGAACCCATGGGAGATTGGGGTTGGGTTCTTGATGCATTTGAAGGAGGAAGGAAAGGGGAAATTCTTGAGATTGGAGGCCGTTAATCCCAAGAGGGAATTTGTTGAAGATTTAGCGAAGGAATGAGTGGAGAGCTGGTGGAGGATGGTACAAGGCGTCGATGGAGTCGGGTCGTCAACACCTAAAGCCTTTTATGACGCTACGAGGGGCCTAGGTATTAGGACTCGAGGCTCTCTTTTCTATTTTGGCTATTACAATATTATAATTACCACGGCTTCTTTTTTTTTTTTTTTTTTTTTA